GTCTCTTCTCTGATGCATGCCTTTGGACTAGAACATTATCGTGCGTAATCCGTGCATTGCCGTTAGGTCTAACGTCCATACGACGCCAATAGCTTCTGTGGATGTCTCGGTTGTGTGGACAATAAAACTGTTCTCGGGGTGGGGGGGGGGGGCTGTTGCAAGATTCGAATGATGAATATGTCTCATTTGAAAGGTTTTTAGCTAAAAACAATGAAAACGTTAGGGAAAGAGACAGAGGAAGGAAGAGAAGGTAGTGCGCATACAAACATTTTAGTTTTAAATCGTTAGAGAATTATTAATTTCTCTTTTTCATTCAGAATTCACTCGGAGTCAAATATACGCTGCCCATTCGATGTTTCAGTCTTTAATGTAAAAACAAATAACTGATCGACGCACCATAAATAATCGTTCATTCATTCATTACCAGGTTACCTGGAAGGTTTGTGTGTCATGGAAACATCAATCATTACCAGAAATTCAAGCATGTTGAGGCTTGGTATTTTACAGGTTTGTTGAAGAAACACATTTTATGTAATAGCTTAAGCTTTTGAAATTGAGTTTTGGACCCAAAGTGATATTTCGGTTTCTTAAAATTTTAAGCATGGTCATGTTGACTTCCGGTGGTCATGTGACACTAAGGGGAGCAAAATAGGAATTTCAAAATGGTCTGGCGATTTTTAAATGAATTGAAAATATTTTTATTTGAAGTTGTTAAGTACATTGACCTTAACAAGAATCTGTCCAGAATAGGTGTCTTTCCTCTTTGGCTAAAGGGATAATTGACTAAAAAGGTCACGTGAGCTAGTCAAAATATTGAATATTTCTAATGTCTGTCTTAACTAAGAATGATTTTCAACTATTCCGGACAGGTTCTTTCTAAGATTATTGTACTTAACAATTTCACATTTAAAAAATTTCCAGTCACATAAGACCCGCCAGCCCATTTTGAAATTTCCATTTTTCTCGCCTTGAGATCACGTGACCACTGGACCATGCTTAAAATTTCAAGAAACCCAATTTTGTTTTTTATCCCCCAAACTCAATTTCATAGATTTAAGATTGATAGARTTATTGCACAAACTTAGTAATTCAGCGATCCATTAAAAGAAGCCTTGACATGCTTGAGAAACTGACCATTACCTGTGGTTTAAAAACCAACCAAGCCCTATTTCTACTGTTTGATGGAGGGTTTGAATTTCGATGGAAAACCTGTCCCGGGTTTTGAATCCTGCATCCAGCGTTATGATCCCTTTCGTATCCTTCGGGATACTCACGAATGTTTTAAAGAATAAAAACAAAAGATATTTTAAGTAGCACATTAA